GAATGCTTTGTCCAACTGGTGAGATTGAGAATGCATAGCTCAGCCTTTTCCAGGCTCATTCTCTTCAGGGCAACTTGTGTTCAGAAGATGTGAAGTCTGTCTCTTCATATACAGGCTCTCCAAAGTAGGGAAGACCTTGAGTTGTGTGGTTAAATTTAACTGAATTGGGAAAGTAGTAGGAAGCCTATTTGGCTGAGGTTCACACTACATTCTTTAGCTCCTTTAGCACTAGTTATACTGCTGACCATTTTTAATCTCTTTCTGCCTGTTGATGTTTATCTATCAAGCGGGCTAGGGCTGGTCCCATTGCACAGTTAAGTGAGTGGGTCGCGCATGGTCAAAAGCGGTCACAGTTTGGATCCCGGTGGCTTGAAATACACTCTAGGCACATGTATGGGGTGGTCAAAGTCCCAAAAGGGTGGAGAAATGGAGGAAAGTGGATTGTGCCATGATCACATGCCATTATGGAGGGATGTTTTCTCTCCTCTCTCTGGCCAGCACATGTACTCTCTGGCAATTAAAAAAAGTGGGCTATAGATTGATTAGCACACATATGCCTCCCTTATAAAGTCCAAGTTCTTCATTAGTTAATAAGATACAAAATACTAACAAATGCAAGATGACAAAAGGATAGGAGCAGATCTTGCATTATCATACCATACCCCAAGGTCACTAAAAGAGAGACTTAATGCTGGAACATTTCTACTAAGAAACTTAATAATTCATCCTTGGTTTTGTTTTTACATTTTGCCAGAGGGTACATTTGCTTACCAGAGACAAAGAGATAGAGGGAACAAGGAAGAAAGCATCCCCATAGGAAATGGTCATGCTTTAAGCCCTTCTCCATTTCTCCGGCCTATCAGAAATTGGGGCACACACACACATATGTCCAGCATGTTTCTCTAGTTTCCAGGTCCAGGACTTGAAATGTGGGGTCAGCCACATGGGATCTGGCTGCCTTTACCACCAGGCCAGGGAGCCAGGCCCCATTCTTGCTATTTTATACTCAGAATCATAAGAACTCACCTCTTACCATTATTAGTAAAATATAATTACTTTACTTGATTATGTAAAGAGAAGATGCTGTAATACACTGGGTTCCTGAGTATTTGTATGTGTGTGTGCCCAAAATCTCAAAGTAGAGGGGGAGAAATGAAGGAGAGAGGACTCTAGTGTGGTCTTCCCCACGTGGATGTGCTTTGTCACTTTCTCTCTCTCCCTCTAGCTCTCTTTGTAAGAACAGGTGTACCTCTGGCAAGTTTAAAAAAAAAAAGTTCATTTAAGACTTGAAATAAGACTGACTGTCTTTTGACCACAAAATAAACAACAATGGTATTCTAATAACATATACAAGGGTACTGATGAGTTAAAACACACATACACACACACACACACACACACACACACACAAAATTTACCTTCACAGACTGGCTGTTGGGATCTTTGCTATCGATGTCACTGTAGGCAATAGTAATTAAGGGAGAATAGATGTTTCCACTCTTTGTGTTTGGTACAAGGTGGATGCTATTTGAAAGGAAATACATTTATAGTTACAAACATATGTAGGGCCTTAAACATATATTTATCATTTCTTTTGAATTTAAGATGATTGTCTTGATGATCTCAGAACCAACCAGTTAATAAGGACCAGAGAAAATTAAATATAAAGTAATGGCAACAACATAAGCTTATTTTAAATGGTCAAAACTTTAATATTAAAATATACTCTCTGAAACAAATTAGAAACACTTTTCTTTTCAGGCCCTATAAAGTTTATAAACAAAAATCACTGAAACACTAAGAACCATCTCTGACGAATATTCAAAACAGCAGTACCATTTGAAGCTAGAGAAAGGCAGACTATATCCTGATTTTCAAAAGATGAATTCTCGGGATCAGTAGTTAGCGTAATGGCTGTTCGCTGGACTCCCATGTAGTTGACCGCAGTTCAAGTCCCGGACCCGGTGGCTTAAAACTCACGCCAGGCATGTGTGTGTGCGTGTCCAAGATCCTGAGAGGAGAAGGGATTGTGGCGTGGCCATCACCCCTGGGGGGTGATTTCTCATTTTCTGTCTCTCTGTCTCTCTCTGTCTTGCTGGCGAGCACACGCGCCCTATAGCAAAAACCTCTAAAAAAAAAACCATGAATTCTCAACAAATTAATGTATGTTAGATCCAATGCTGTTTATGGCACATTATGGGGTATATTTTGCCAATTTGGGTGCATTAGTATTTTATAGCTTGTGAACTAAAAGGAAAGTGTCAATCACTAGGGGACAGCACGGTTTCATCAAGGTTAAATCAAGCCGAGCTGGGTTTGACTTCATTTTTAGTATGAATACTACATTAGTATATGAAGGAATGCTAAAAACATAGTACATTTGGAATTCAATGAGATACATGACAAAGTTCCTCTACTGACTACCTCATAGGATTGTTATGAGAATCAAAATGAAATGGTGAGGGAAAAAAACACATGTATGGAAGTGCCAAGGAAATGTAAGATAATGGTGTTGATTTTCATAAGCATATTTAAGGTAAACATGAATTATAAGAGTGGGAAAGCTGGTTAAGATTCCAGAGACAGGAATCTCAGCAGACAAATAGACGGGGGGCACCATACTAGGTGAGACCATCCTAGGAAGGGGGGTGGTCAGTATGATCTGGGACAACCTAGGAAGAGTAGCTATGAATGGAAATGAAGACTAGGATGGCATAACTATTAAAAATCTTCTGGTGAACTCTTTTCAAACTACCAATTTCAGGGCCAGCCAACAGCCTGGTGGTTAATTAAGGCAGCTATTATCCCATATGGCTGACTGTGCGGTTCTAGTTCCAGACCCAGCAGCTTGAAAAGAACACCCTGGGTGCGTGTGCTTGCATGCCCTAAATCTCAAGAGAATAAAGAAGGGATTGCAGTGTGGCTATCCCCATTGAGAAGCACTTTCTCACTTTCCTTATATCTCTCAATCCTTTCTAATTCAGGTCTAGAGTGGAGCCTAGCATGTGAACTTTGACCTAATTCCTCAGACTCTTTGGATACAATTCCCAACTTGGCTCTCCACCTTTATTCATCTTTACCAATTTATATAGATACCCAAAAGAACTTCATATACTGTTGCAATTCAGTTGTCCTTATTGTTTTCATCTGATAATTACTGGTAAGCAATTTCATCCTGACATTTTCTCCTAAATTTCAAGCCCAGTTCAGTAATTAGACATTTGTTACCTCAGTGATATCTGGGTAGCAACTCGAATCACTCTTGGCTGACTTTCTAAGTCATTTTCTCGTCCGCTTACTGTATCCACTAAGAAAATGCGCCGAGTTAGAAGCCACTTGCCAGAGTTACTGTCTTTTACCAAAAAAGAAAAAAAAAAAAAGTATTAAAAAAATACCCTCAAATTGTTCAAACTGGTTCTTAGAGATAAATTTGCTGAACAAATTTAAATACAAAAATAATATTTTGTTTCATGTAAGTGACTACAAAGCACTACTGCTGCAGAAAATTCCTGTTAGTGGTCTCCATCACACTTGAATGTCTTCTGATTAGACTTTTCACCAATTTGGAAAAATTTTTTCTGAAAAGGCAGAATTTTGTAACATGAATTACAACAAAAGAAACTATTAATAATTTGTCCGTAAAGCAGATCTAAGAAAGCTTGAAGAAAAGTCCTAACCATCTGGTAATGTGGGTAAGATGGGTAGGTCCCACATGGCCAACTGCATGGCTGAATGCTAGACCAAACAGCTTGAAAACACACTGGGTGCATGTGAGTGTGTACCCAAAATCCCATGGGGAGAATAAAGGAAAAAGGACTACAGAGTGGCTATCTCCTCTAGGGAGTGCTCTCTCACTTTGTCTCTCCAGTGAATGAATACACATGCCCTATACCAAAATTTTAAAAATAAATAAATAAAATAAAGAAAAAGTCTCAATTAAAGTTCTACTAATTTTTCTCAGGACACATTCTTAGTAACAATGTAATTCTTAACAAAAATGCCTGACAATAAAATTAATCAAAACTTATAAATATACCAATAATCTACTTCTACTTTACTTTTTGGACATGCTATATAAAACCATGTGAGAGAGAATCCATGATGTTTCTTATAATTAGTGGTTTACTAAATTATATTGTTGGCTGATTTCAGTCCAGAGAAAGAGTGGTCTATATAGATATCTTACCTTGGTTCACAAACATTTTATTGTGTTGAAGATTTAGATTCAACACAGGCACGGCCCAAATATATTGTTGTTGATTTTCACCAGTATACTCAAGGTACACATCATAAAATATAGGTGTGGTAAAGTCTGTTAAGATCTTAGAGAGAGGAATCTCACACTGGAAAATAAAATGAAAAATTAAACCTCACAATTGAAAATTAGAAAGCCTAATATCTTTAAAAGAGTGGATTTTTAGTTCTGCAAAATAAAATATCTTTAAACTACCTCGTTTATGTATATTTCTATGTCTTCTAAACATGAATAGCAAAGACGATTCTTTTGTAAAGGTCAAACACTAATTGCTTTGTTCTTTTCTTTTGGAAGAGGTTTTTGCTATAGGGCACATGCACTCGCCAGACAGACAGAGGGAGACAGAGAGACAGAAAATGAGAAATCACTCCCCAAGGGGCATGGCCACGCCGCAATCCCTTCTCTTCCATTCTCTTCTCAGGATCTTGGGCACACACGCACACATGCCCAGCGTCGGGTCCAGGACTCAAACCGTGGTCGACTACATGGGAGTTCAGCAACATAGCCATTACACTAACTGATGATCACTTAATCTGTTTTTCATGATAGTATTTTTCATTGTAGCTTTGTTCTGTGATTGTGTTTATACATTTTAACTTGACAGCAGACATGTATGCTTGACAGAGAGAGAGAGAGAGAGACAGCAAGCTAGCACCCCCAATGGGGATGGTCACACTGCAATTCCTTCTCTTTTTCCCCCTCCTTTCAGGATTTAGAGTACATATGCACATGTGTCTCATTGTTTTATTTATTTTTAAAGAATTATTTTATTTGACTTTATTTATTTATTCATTTTAATTTGACCTGGGAGAGACAGAGAGAGAAAAAGAGAGAGAGAGAGAGAGGGAAAGCAAGATAGCAAGCTGCCAGGTCTAGTACTCAAACTGCGGTTGGCCATGTGGAAGTCGAGCATCCTCAACCACCACACCACCTGCTGGCCCTGTGCCTCATTGTTTTAAACTGCCAGGTCTAAAACTTGAACTGCACTGGAGACCATGTGGGATCCAATCACTTTAACCACCAGGCCCTGGGCTGGCCCTCAGAAAGCATTTTTATAAACTACTGAATGTCTTTCAAATGTTTAGTGGCTTGTAATATTCCTATGTATGATGCTATTATTTTTTACTGGATTTTCAAAGGAAGGAAGGTCAAGGAAAGAGGGAGAGATAGTATAAAGAAAGGGGGAAATCACTGAGGTGAGAAAAGAAAGCATTTTTGTTATAGAGCAAAGAGTGAGGAAGGAGTTAAATTTGTATTAGTCACTAAAAGCAAAGTATTTTATTTCAAAATGCACAGAAGTAGGCATTTTTTAAAAAGACTTGTCAGTCTAGAAGCAGGTTAAGTCATGATTATAAAAATTTAACATTGGGAACCAGCAGTTAGCGTAATGGCTATATCGCTGGACTCCCAAGTAGTCGACCGCGGTTCGTGTCCCGGACCCGGTGGCTTAAAACTCACGCCGGGCGCATGTGCGTGCGTGTCCAAGATCCCGAGAGGACAATGGAGGAGAAGGGATTGCAGCGTGACCATCCCCCCTGGGGGGTGATTTCTCGCTTTCTGTCTCTATGTCTCTCTCTGTCTGTCTGGCGAGCGCACGCGCCCTACAGTGAAAACCTCTCCAAAAAGAAAAAAATTTAACATTAACTCTATAAATAACAAGGTACTCTCTGCTGATTAAACTTAAATCCCCTGTACTCAAATAAAACATTATATTAATTAGTGAAATTATTCATTACTATTTAAAACACTTCTAATTTTAAAAACTCAAATATTATTTCAATTAGTGCTCACATAATACTTTGAAAAACAAATTTGGGGGACCAGCAGATAGCGTAATGGCTATGTCACTGGACTCCCACATAGTCGACCGCAGTTCGCGTCCCAGACCCGGTGGCTTAAAACTCACACCGGGCACGTGTGTGTGCATGCCCAAGATCCCGAGAGGAGAACGGAGGAGAAGGGACTATGGCGTGGCCATCCCCCCTGGGGGGGGTGATTTCTCGCTTTCTGTCTCTCTTTCTCTGTCTGTCTGGTGAGTGCACGCACCCTATAGCGAAAACCTCTCCAAAAAAAAACAAAAAACAAATTTGGGACCAGACTATAACACAATGGTAAAATACAATGCTCTGTCAGACAATTCTGCATGAGAAGGTTGCTGGTTCAAGTCCAGAGACTTCTCTGAGTATTCAGCACATGTGCTTGGGGCTAGCAAAAAGACCAGGGATGAATCATATCATCAAGACCTTATTAGGGGTACTAACGGCATATGAAAAGAAAAAAAAAAGAAAGAAAGAGTAAAAGCTAAACTATAGATTAAAATAGATCACTTACATTTTGTTGATAGGTTGTTCCAAAAGAATAAGCAGCATTTAGTTTTGTCTCTGCGTCTGGGCAAAGCTACAGCAAAAGAATACAACTGATAAATAATATCTTAACATTTTCTTTGCTGATAGTTCTCAAAAAAAAAAAAAAAAAAAAAAAAAAGAGTTCTCAAGCCTCAACATGGATATATACCCTGTATAATACTTGTCAATGTATTAAGGGTATAGAAAATTAAGGAAACATCTTTGTTATAAATAAGTGTCAACTTAAAAGCAGTTTTAAGAAATTCCAATATAAAGCATTGGAAGAAAATCAACTATAGTATGTAATTAATGTTCTATTCAATAATCTAGGCTTTTCCACTTGTTTTGCCTCAGGCAAAAATAAGTTTTCTTTAGCTAGAAATATGCTTACCTGTAAAACACCTCCTTCTAAAGTTTGCCACTTGAGAAAATTTCCTCTTATATCATAGGATGCAGCAACAAACTTTAGTCTTGTATCCTGATAAAAAACAAAAACAAAACAAAACAAGAATATTGTCAAATACTCTGAAGGCAATATAATATCCCATAAAGGAAATTTCATTGTTAACTGATTCTCTTTATGGTTGATTGATGTTTTCTGTTGACAAATTAAATTCAGCTATTTTTATTTTGAAGGTAAATTAATCTAACTATTTCTATAATTAAATACACCTTAAAAAAATTGAACTTCTTTTGCATGAAAATAGTTACTTCAGAATTGAGAGGCAGCTGTAGTCACAATCAATTATATGGGAAAGTGAGAAAGTTAGAGGCAGGAATTTGGACTTACTTGTGAAGTGCTGGGAAATGTCAAAGACCCCTAGTCAATCTTTGGAAGCACTTCTTATAAATGTGGAGAGGGCTGGCCCTGTAACTTAGTGGTTTGTGGGAGCTGGATCCCACATGGCCAATGACAGTTTGAATCTCAGCCCCTATGGCTTAAAAGGCACACTGGTGCATATGTATCTTTGCCCCAAATCCTGACAGGATGGAGAATGAAGGAGATATAGTATGGTGCTTCTGCCTCCCTCACCCCCACCTCCAATCCCCATCCCTCAGTCTCTCAGTCTCTTTAAAAAATGTGGAGCTACACAAAGCAGCCATGGGCACAGCAGTAATGCAATGCTCTGCAGTGCTGAACTCCTTCCCCCCAGGTTCACATCTCAAAATCTCCCTGTACACGCACCAGCTTGTTATCTCAGCTGGCCAAGGATTGGGATGGATCATTGTCTGAAGACTGTTGGGAATGCCTGTCTCTCACTCTGCTTCTCTCTCTCATGGAAGAGACAAATAAATCAACTTAAAAAAAAATGTGGAACTACAAAAGGACACAGATTGTTTTGCATATGGTAAAGAAAACTCCTCTTCCCAGTCCCATAATTACTATTTGCTCATATAATCATATAACCCAGAGAGATCTATATATTCAATTAAGACAACTAAATTCTATAGTTTAGTCTCTATAAGTATCTGATATTTATATTTACTTAGGTAGCTAAATTTTTTAAATCAACCTTAAAAAGCAAAAATTGTGACTAGTAACTTTATTACCTTTTAAAATCATAAATCAAAATGTATTTATCCTCTAATGAAATAGTGACTTGTACCTGGTTTTGCCCTTTAAAACTGAAATTCGTAGGAAGAGGTATAGCACTGAGTACTTGAGGTGCTAATCCTAGCTGGTCTCCATAAAATAGCCATGGAAGATTCTGTCTCCTACAAATAATTACAATCATTTTACTAATGGGGAAGAAATACTTATTAATATTTGTGAAAAGAACTGCACTGAATTAAATTAAAATGACATTTCATCAATCAAAATGCCCTTACCAAAATGATATAGAATGAACAGTACTAAGTCCAGCAGTATTTTCAAAGATATATTGAAATAGTCGACACGCATCGAATGTGGCAAAGTCATAAGAATTCATGTTCATTACGCACATATTTCCAAGAGCTTGGCAAGATGTTAGATTGGCATACACCTATCAAAAGAACAATGACAAAGAAATCTAACATGACCTTCCTTAATAGCCTAAGCAGAAGTTGATATAAAATTATGCTTTAATTGTACCTACTTCATTAATTCTCTTTTTTATTCTCTAACTTTTTAATAACATTCCTCTAGCTTAAGTGGAAAAGAACTTTCAGGACCAGCAGATGGCGTACTAGTTACATCTCTGGACTCCCACATAGTAGACCATAGTCCAAGTCCTGGACTGGCAGCTTAAAACTCATGCCAGGCACATGTGCATGTGTGCCCAAAATCCCAAGAGGAGAATGAAGAAGAAGGGACTGCAATGTGGCCATGATTTCTCGCTTTCTGTCTTTCTGTGTCTCTGGCAAGTTCATACACCCTATAATAAGATATCTTTCTTAAAAACACTAAAACAACTTTCTACATAGGAAAAGAAGTGATGTACACATTTTAATTACAAATTTTAGACTAAAGTATAAGCAGCTGAAATAAGAAGTAAAAACTTACAGCATGACATTTTTTAAGACGATTGAGTAGCATACAGTCATCTCTTGGTATCTGTGGAAACTGGTTCCAGGATCCCAAAGATAGCAAAGTCCACAAATACTCAAGTAAAATGGTATACTATTTGCAATATAACCTACACACACCCTCTTACATACTTTAAATCATTTCTAGATTACTAATAATACCTATTATAAAGTAAATGTACATAAATAGTTTTTATACTATATTGTTCAGAGAAAAATGACAAGAAAAAAAGTCTACACATATTTAGTACAGAGGCAGTCAATGCAATCATCACAAGCCTACATCAGCAATAGTATAACATTTTTGATCTGTGCTTGTTTGAATCTGTAAGTGCAGAGTCCAAGGATACAAGAAACTGACAGAACTTATATTTGAAAAGTAAGAATGTGTTTGTATATTAGATCTCATGCATGTAAATCGAATCCCTTTTTATTTAAGTAATTTGTTTTATGAACAACAAAATAAGATCATTTGTTGAGTTTGCCTCTCAACCCTCTTTTCTCAATTCTCCCTTCCCATGTCTGACTTATCAGTAAATCTGGCTGGCTGCATCTTCAGAGCACAGGCAGAAGAAAAGCACTGTTCTTGTTGTCATGGTACCTACCACCTTGACCATGGTTCTACACTTTCAATTACTGTACACTCTTCTAAATGGTCTCTCTGCTTCTGGCCTTGACCCAACAAAATATCTCCAGGCTACAGTGACCCTATTGAAGCCCGAGGTTTGATCATGTTTCCTTTAGCAAAAAATCCTTCTGTTTCTCTTGATAAAGTCTGGTAGTCATCAGTTACTCCCTCCATTCCTGACCTTATCTCTTTTTCACTTACCCTACTCATTCTGCTCCAACTACTCTGGCCTCCTCAGAATGAACAAGCCAGTGAATTCCTACTTTGGAAGTTTGTTTCCTGCTCTTGGTTCTATTAAGAACAACCTTTCCCTAGATATCACATGGTTCACTCTCACTTCTTTCATGTCTTTGATGAAATATCCCCTCATAGGTATTTGTCTTGCCAACACTATAAAATAGCACCCTCAAAGCTGGCAGGTAGCATGATGGTTAAAGGTACTAGGTTCTCACATGGCCAACTGTGGTTCAAGTCCCAGACCTGGAGGGCTTGCTTTCTCGCTTTCCCTTTTTCTTTCTGATCAAATTGAAAAAAAAAAACAAAAACAATAATAATAAATTGAATTAAATAAATAATTCTTTTATTTAAAAAAAGCACCCCAGCCCCAAATTTCTATGTTCCCTGATTTATTTGCCATTATAGCACTTAGCACCACCTGATGCTGAGTTAGACTATAATGCCATGAGAAATCTTTTCTTCTGTCTTTCTCTGAAATTTTTAACCTGATCAAAGAACAGGGCTTAGCAAAAGTAGGTCAATAAACATTCACCAAAGGACAGTTTTCTCTAACACTCAATTTCAGCTGAATAAGCCTGGAGACATTCAATTTGTGTATACCGAATGACATTTAAAAAATTCTCTTTCGACTTTCAATCAACTAGAAAGGGTTTATTCTTCTTATATAATACAGCCAAGGAGATACAGTTACTTAGAATATTTCTAATGACTAGGTAAAAAAATGGTACCACAATTCTTCAGGTTTTTTTTTTTTAAAGAGAGAGAGATGTTTGGTATAGGGCACATGCATGCGTGCATGTGCTAGCCAGAGAGACAGAGAAAGATAGAGAGAAAGAAGCAAGAAATCACCACTGGGGAGGATGGCCATGCCACAATCCTTTTCCATTCTCCTCCTGGGACTTTAGGCACGCATGCATGCACACGTGCCCAGCTTAAGTTTTAAGCCACCAGGTCCAGGACTCGAACCACAGTCAATTACATGGGAGTCCAGTGATGTAACCAGTACATTAACTGCTGGTCTACCACAATTCTTCAAAATGAAATAAAATATTTTTTAAAAAATTTCAACTGACCCAACATGCAGCTGCTGCTGATTGCAAATACTTTGCAAACCATTCTGAAATTATAGACATGCCCTGTAAACAAAAAGATAAATTTTAGTTTTAAGTTCAAATGAAGATTCCTTAAACTTCCATTGTTAGAAAGAAATTAATGTGTACATTGTTGAATAGAAAATGACTAACATTATTTTCTCAGTGTTGGTAGGAAAACAGATTAATTAATAATACATTAATTTCAACCAATGTCAGTTATTACAAATAGGACTGCATCAAAAAATAATGACATTTAGGCAAAAGATGTAAGGCAACAAAATTTACCTACAATCAAAAATTTTTAAAAATGCCTCTTCCACTAATGCAAAAAGTAAAGTAAGCAAGGTATGGAGGTACCCACTTGTAATCCTAGCTATTTGGATGCTCTTAGAGTGCATATGTGCGTGCTCTATCTCTCTCCATATATATGTGTGTATGTATATATGTGTTATGTGTATATATGCATATACTATATGTATGGATATACCTATACATATATGTGTATATATGTGTGTATATACATGGATGTATATACATCCATGTATATACATATATGCATACATAGACACACACACACACACACACACACACACACACACACACACACCCCTATTCTAGCATTTATTTTGTGGCTCTGCAACTATTTTGTACTTGACTATAACTTCCAAAAGACTATTACTGGAGTTCACAATTACTGGAATTGAGGAATTTTTGCCTCATTCATCAAGATTCCAAATTTCACCTTTATCATTCTATTCTCACAGCCCTCCTAGTCACCGATTATTTATGTTTATGTTATTAACAACCAGAGTACAGTCTGTCCACCCAAGCTCTGCTGGCACCCTGGGTATCCTTTAATGTTCTTAACTAACTCCCATTCTAACTTGTTGTCAGTCATCTAACTGTTCTCTTTTCTTGAATTACTGACCTCTCCAGTTTCAATTCATGACCAGCATCTGCTGCAAAATGCTCTCATCTATAAAATAAGGAACCCAGAAAGATACAAATAAATCTACTCCTCCAATGCTTACTAGGTATAGGCACTGTGTCCAATTTGCAGTTAATACAATGAAGTTTATCAACTATTAGGTAACTTTCCCAATTCCCAAGGATATGAAGCTAATGCTTCATAATTTGGGGTTCAAATTTAGAGTCTCTGGTGCTCTTAACCATACTGCACTACATACTTTATAGGACCTAAACAGGCTATTCCCAGCCTAAACAGTCTGTGATTCATTGAAAAAGGAATGAGATAAGGTATAGAAGAAGGTTTTGTACTTATAAATTAAAATTATGAGTTGTTATATTAGTGTCTCTTAGATTGATCATTTGTTTTAAAGTGATTTACGCAAAAACATTTATTGTATTCCAAAATTAACTGCAAAAGAAAGAGATGCAGAAAGATCCCTAACAATGGAACAAAAAACCTGAAGCACACTCACGAGTTCTCCATAACGTGCAGCAGAAGTTATACGTGGAGGAAAATTCCCAGTGCTACTGAAACATAATCCCCCTGTCTTCAAAAATAAATAAAGGGGAAACAAAAATCTAGTTTATGGAAAGGTACATAAAGTGAATTTAAAATATAAACATTGTCAATTTGATTAGCCTTACTAAAATGTTAGGTTCTGAACATGCACAGGACCTGCTGGTATTAACAAATGTTGGTTCACATCGGACGCACCTGTTCAATACAACAAAAATAATTTTTAACTTGTTAATGTATTACATTAAACCGAATTTAATTGAGAACTTATTTTCCTAAATGCTGGACTAGAATATTCATTCAGCTAAGCAACTGCTTAAATAAAACAAATGAAAAATATTAATGCTAATAGAATAGTTTTATGCTACTCTTTGTGTTACAGGCAAAGTATAAGTAAATAAAATAACAGAAGAGTACTTTTTAACCTACATGGAATATATGGAATGGATTAATATTGAATAGCAAAGATGGTTAAGATACTCAGCCAATGAAGGAGTCCAGCAAACTTATATAAATGAAGCCTAATCAATTTTTACAAGTAGTTATATCAAATGTACTATCTTTATTACTATCTTTATATTTTATCTGCCACAAAGCAAAAAAATACCACAAGTAGAAAAGATACATATATCTATCTTATCATCAAGCCTATAACCAACACTTTAACAATAAAGTCTATTTATTGTCTTTATTTTAGAAGAATACTTCATATTTTTCATAATGAGATAGGAGGGTGGACACTGTGCTAGTGGGAAAAATGGGTTTACATGGGTATTCATTACTTGTAAGATAAAGCAGGTAGAAGGTCAGGCTGGAGTATTGCATAAAACCAAAAGTAGGCTTGAGAAAATATTAGAGGTGCAAACTGGGGGTCAGCCCAGGAGACATATTTGGATACTGCAACTCAACTGAGCAGTAAATACCCCTAGGAGAAGCTGCTCAACTACTTTCCATATTAAACCAGGGAACTGAAAAGAAAATTGTGCTTAGAATGTAGGCTGTAGCCAAATTCATGTAGATGAAACAGGTATAATGTTAGAGGCAACTGTGTAAGGAGTTGTGAGTTGGGTATATGAACACATGCATAAAGGGAGGGGGCAGAAATCGATAGATATTAGGGCTGTAGTTCTGGGTGCCTAGGTTATAATGATGTATTTTTTATTAATTTTTAGTTTAACATTATACTATAGAAAAGTATTAGCACAGTACTTGACACATAATCTATAATTATGTGCAAAGTACATAATACTGGGTTGTTGGGAAAGTCATGACATATTTTTCTATGCAAAAATGCATCATGACTTTCCCAACAACATAATATAAACAAAAAAGCTACCATTTTATTAAGAGGTTACTATGTGGCGCTATGCAAAGAACTTTATACATTTATTTCTATGAAGGTGGTAAATTTCCATGCTAAAGACAAGAGACTATAACTTGACCTATCCAAGGTCAAACAATTAATCGACTAAGGTAAGATCTGAACCCTATTCTGTCTCATGCTCTGGACCTCAGCTTTTTTATCTGTCAATGTCTAATCTTTTCTTTGGTCTATGAGGAACAATTGACACGATAGGAAAATACTTCTTAAAAGTACAGGTTACATAAAAATATAAGAAGATATTCACAAAGTCATCTCTTAGCACACTACTTACCTGTTTCCTAAAGCATTTGCTACTGTGAAAGAGTTTTCATTTCCATCACAGAGTTCACAAGTTGCTTGAGACAGTAATGTTCCATTAACATCTCTTTCCACTAAACAATTAGAAGCAAAATTAAGATATAACTCATAGTGATTATATAAGCTTCTATATGCTTAGAAAGTATTTAATAAAGCCTATCTGTAATTATTATATATTTGCATAAAGATATGTAAAGTATCTGATCGCCATAATAAAGTATAGAAAAGTGATGTCTCTTCCATTCCTACATTAAAAAAAAACACAGAAACCAATTTTCTAAGATATTATAATAATAAATCCATAATATTTTTTTCTTAAACATTTTCTGTTTGTTTTTGCTATGGGGCAAATATGCTCAACAGAGAAACACAGAAAGGGAGAAAGTGAGACCTCACTTCCCAGGGGTGATGGCCTTGCCACAATCCCTTCTCCTCCATTTTCCTCTTAGGATTTTAGGCATGTGCCTGGTTTGGATTTCAAGCTGCTGGATCCAGGACTCGAACTGCACAGTTGGCTAGGTACGATTCAGCACCTTTACCTCCACATCACCTGCTGGTTCTCCTCAAACATTTTTTTTTAATCTCTAACTTATTACGTTCCTACTATAGGAACTATCATTCCAGTGAATCAGGACGCAAGTATTTTCATAGACTGTTGATAAGTTTCTATAACTTTTGTGCTTTTGATGGCAGCTAATAAAGTTTTAAATTCACATAACTTTCAGCACAATTTCATTTTTGGATATTTAACCTACAGAAATGCTTGTAGGTGTGTTTAAAGATATTTACTAAAGCATTATTTGTTAGACAATGACCTAAATACCTAAAATGGCAGAAAGGTGCACATTCATGCTATGAAATACTATGTGATAGATTAACAAAATGAGATAAATCTAACAACTGACTGTTAACTGAAAAAAGTATGCTACAGAACAATATTTGGGATAGGAAACATTTATGTAGAAATAACACACACACACACATAATTGCCAGAGGGCATGCATGCTTACCAGACAGAGAAAGACAGCACTCTCTCAATGGGGCATAGTCATGCTGCACTCCTTTTTCCTCCATTTTGCCATCAAGGTCAAGATTATGGGCACATAAGCACTTGTCCAGCATGCTTTTCGTGCTGCAGAGCCAGGACTCAAACTACAGTTGGCCATGTGGGATTTTGGCGCCTACTGCATGTTTACTCACTGTGCTACAAGACCAGCCCATCACTTATATTTTATATGCAGCTCCTTAACCACTATGTTGTGAGACCAGCCCATCAAATTTTAGCTTTAATTTACACTTTTCTTACTTTGACTATGGTTAAGCTTTTTTCTTGTTCAAGTTAAAATACTTCCTTCTGAGTCAGCTCCATAATGTCATGGTTAAGTGATGTTCATTGGGAGACAGATCAAAATTAGCTGACCACAGTTCTAATACCAGTTCTTGTCCAATCAGGATCCTGGGAAATGAAAAAACATTCTGGGTACACATGCACGTATGTCCCAAATCCTGACAGGATAGAAAATGGAAGAAAAAGGATTGTTGTGTGACCGTGCCTCATCAGGAGGAGGTGCTCTTGTTTTCTCTCCTCCCTCTCTCTCTCTCTCTCTCTCTCACACACACACACACACACACACACACACACACACACACACACACATATGTCTTCTGGCAATGAAAGAAAAAGAATATTAAAATAATTTATCTTTGTAGACTTAATTCAGGATTTTTGGCTATTTTTTAAATTGGATCATTTTACTCTTACTTTTTTTGTAGGAACTTTATGCATATTGAAGAAAGAATTTAGATCTCTGCATGTTTTATGCATTATTTATTATCCTTTAGTTTGCAGTTTTTTGGTATTATGAGTTTTTATAGACTCACATAGACTAAGAAAGGGGATTCCCCATGCTGGAAAACTAAATGCAGGCCCAAGCTGCCATTAAAAAGATAAGTTGTTAAATGAGGAATGACTGTATTTCTTACCTAAAATATAGCCAGTGGGACAGTGGCATTTTCCTTCTGCAGTTAAGCCACTAGGACAAGAAATACAGTTCCAACCATCTTCGGTAACACCTCTCTAAGTTAAAAACAAAAACAAAAACAAAACCCTTTTTCTTCTTTGTAATGAACTTTCTTCTTAATTGATCATGTGAGTTCAAAATGCAAAAATAATGTGTAATTTGTGGTAGATATTCAAATAAATCATACATGTATGAGCCACATAAAAATTCTCTGGATAGGTAATTCATGCTGATATTCCAAAATTAAGTTATATAGTATTACTGTGCTCTGACTACTATTAAAAGATTAAATTTAGTTAATACATCTTTCTTTCTAGTGATCTTCAATTTAAGTGGGCTCTTTTATAACTAATTTTGACATTCAATTTTTTCAGTTATGAACACAACAAAACTCAATAGGACTTAATCAATAAAGAGCCTGATAATAGTATAGTCCTACTTGTTCTAAAAAGATTATTCTAATATTTTTAAAATTTTGCCAGAGAGCAATGTGCTTACCAAAGAGAAAAAGAGGGAAAATGAGAAAGTACCCCCATAGAGGATGGTCATGTTGCAATCCCTTCTCCATTTTTCTCTCTTTTCAGGATTTTGGTCACATATGCACACACATCTGGCAAGTTTATCAAGACACTAGGTCTGCAATTCAAACTGCGGTCAGCCATGTGGGACTCAGCCACCTTAGCACAGCATGCTACCAACTGGCTCAATAACTATTTTAATTTTTAAAGATTCAAATACATTAGCTTGTAAAAATTAATTTAGGATTCCAAATGAGTAAATTTAATGGGATTATAAAATTGTTAAAACTGATTTATGAAAATATCTCCTTCTTTCTATCCATTAGTAGTTTGCACTAGTAAAGGTTTTTGGTAAAGTATCACTTATTACATAAGCTTTAGAAAAGCCAGAGCAATAATACAAAAATTATAAACACAAATATAACCAAATTAACAGAGAACAATGATTAAAAACAAAATAATGCCACAATTATTTTAAATTCTGGTTGAAAAGTGGACTCATCAAGAAATGTTCCTATATTTAGCAATACATTTGTATAGAATTTTTTAAAATTGAGACCAGCAGACTATGCCGCTGAACTCCCATGTAGTTAACCACAGTTCGAGTCCCAGACCCAGTGGCTTAAACTCACACCAGGCACGTGTGCATGCGTGCCTAAGATCCTGAGAGGATAATAGAAGAGAAGGAATTGCAGCATGGCCATCTCCCCCCGGGGGGTGATTTCTTGCTTTCTGTCTCTTTGTCTCTCTGTCTTTCTGGCAAGCAAATGCACCCTATAGCAAAAAACCTCTCAAAAAAAAAAAAAAGAATTTTTAAAAATTATAAATGCCACACACACAAAAAACTACTATGATACTATACTACCAGCATTTTTTTTAGTTATTTTTTTTGTTTCGGTTTTTGTCATAGGGCTTGTGTGCTTGCTGGAGATAGACAACAGAGAGGCAGCGAGAGGGAAAGTGAAAAATCACCTCAAAGAGGGAATGGCCACACCACAAACTCTTCTCTTTTCTCCTCTTAAGATTTTTTTTTTTTTTTGAGAGATTTTCATTGTAGGGCGCGTGCGCTCGCCAGACAGACAGAGAGAGACATAGAGACAGAAAGCGAGAAATCACCCCCCAGGGGGGATGGTCACGCCGCAATCCCTTCTCCTCCATTCTCCTCTCGGGATCTTGGGCACGCACACACACGCGCCTGGCGTGAGTTTTAAGCCACCGGGTCCGGGACACGAACCGCGGTCAACTACGTGGGAATCCAGCGACATAGCCATTACGCTAACTGCTGGTTCCCTCTCCTCTTAAGATTTTGAGAAAGCATGCACACATACCAGAGTGATTTTCAAACCACTGGGTCTGAGTCCGGAATTCAAACTACAGTTGGTCATGTGAGAGTCCAGTATCTTAACTACTATCTGCTGGCTCCATTAGCAGGTTTTTATCATTAGTAATTCAACTAGGAACAATATTTACAAAAAACACATACAACAAATATCAAAATGGTAATCAGGCTTTTAAGGAATAATTACAAATTAGGGCCCAGCCACTGCACAATACTACAACTATATGCAAAGACCATGGGTTTGGATCCCATGCTGGTCAACCTGAACACACTAGGCATGTCTGCTATCCTGGCTGGCTGGAGGGCTGAGAGGATGATAGGGGACTGCAGCATGGTGAAATCCTGTAAGGGCCTCTTATTCCCTCTCTCAGTAAATTTATTTTAAAATAAATTCTCCATACCATGTTTTCTGGGCACTTTTTACAGATAATGGCAGGTCCTCCATTACTAGAAATCATCTGAAATCCTGGAAGGCACACACATGAAGTTCCTAAAAAGAAAAGAGTCGATTTTGTCCTTGGTAAATAAAAATAAAACTCCAAGATAAGGAAACTTCTAATAAATTTTTAAGATTTTGAGAAGCAAAATAACAAGAAGTGGTTAATAACAAGATTCTGGAACTAGTACTGTGTGAGTTCAAATTCAGAAACAAACTCCTTGGGTTCTGATCTTAGTTTTCTTACTTAGCTGTGTGACCTTGAGTAAGTTACTTAACTTCTCTGAGTCTTGTCTTCAGGTAAACTGGAAAATAATAGTACCTAATTCAGAGAGTTAATATAAGTATTTTTTTAAAGAATTATTTATTTAATTTTATTTATTCATTTAGTTTTTAATTTGACCAGAGAGAGAGAGACACACACACACACACAGAGAAGGACAGTGAGAAAGCAAGCAACCAGGTCCAGGATTCAAACCCTGGTCAGCCATGTGGGAGTGACCAGCACCCTAACCACCACACCACCTGCTGGTCCCCAGATGACTAAGTACTAAAATAGTTATTATATGTAAGGTCTTAGAAGTGTGTCTGATATTCTGGTGCTACCATTTTAAGTGCAGCTTAATATTAAACTATTGAACTATACTGTTGGGAAATTATATGTTTGTGCCATTAAATCATATACACATATCCAGTGAATTTAAATTTGTCAAAACCTTATTAGAGAATTTACTTTTGTTCCAATAAAACATTGTTCCCTCTGGTCAGATAGTAAACATTACTGGATAATCACTATTTGAGTTGCTGGATAGATGAGGATTCTCTCTGGAGCCATTAAATGGAAATGGTATCTATAGTAGTCTATATAGTATGAATTATCTGGATTCATAGTTCCGAAACTTGCATCTTAGAGTCTGAAATGCTTTCTCATTAATATTTCCTTATTCGAGCAGACTGATTAATCTTGTTCAATGATTTAAATGAGGATTTATCAAAAAGGAAGATGGCAGAAAGTTAATACCACAGTGATCAAATCGAGATTAAAACCATTTTACACGTGGGGTCAGCAGATGGCCTGGTGTTTTAGGTTTGAGTTCTGGACCCGGGCGCCTGGCTTAAAAATCAGGCCAGGTGAGTGTGCATACAACATACCCAAAATTTGAGAGGCGAATGAAGAAGGGATTGCGACCTGGCCATCCCCCGTGGTGGGTGATTTCTCGCCCTTTCTCCCCATGTCTCTCTCCAGAGAGCACACATACCTTATGGCCAAAATCTTAAAAAAAAAAAAAGTAATAATAATAATAATAAGACTTTGGGATATGGTCAAAGACTTATCCTGAGCTATTTTAGTGAGAATTAGGACTAAATGATGCATGTTTTAGGGAGGAAAATAAGCTTAATATAAATAGACTTTCAGAGCAAAGAGTTACCAATGTTTAACAATAAAAGGGCTAAGTCCTAAGAAACCTATTACAGACGCACTATAGTGTTGGTAGAAATACATATTATCAAAACTGAGGGAAAAGAGACACGACTTTTGGCCCCAGGCGGTGCAACAAATACACCAGGGTTTCAATTTATCTGTAAAACGAGAGCCACCATGGTCCACGGAACTGGTCGTTTCCAGTTCTAAATTTTCGGGATTTGAAAGCAAGATATGGTCATCAAAATTTGACAGGGCTAATTTGCATCTCCTCCCTAATCCGTCCAGTCTCCAGTTCCTCTTCACTTCATTTTACTTCTCTATTTCTTTTCTGACTTCGGTAGGCGGCTCTGCAGACGCGGCCCTGAAGCGCTGCGGGAATGAAGAGTGGGGGACTGGCTAGGAGAAATGAATGACTAGAGAGGGCTTATGGACAGCGGTCTCAGGTCCCCCGTCCCTGCTAATGTGCAAACTACAATTTGCCGAGGGATCCCTTTTCTCAGGCATCGACCACTATTCTGAAACATTCTTCCCACAAAAGAAGAGAGAATTTAGCGACCCCGAGAAAGGGGCAGCACTAGGTCGCGAGTGCTATTCTCGCCAGGGCCTGCACCAAAAACGTCTCACCTCGGGCATCCTGCCTCTGGTTGGCTCCACAGGGAACACAGGCGAGGGCGGAGATATCAAAGTACTGGTTGTGCCCACACGTCTCTGGCCGACGAAAAGGGAAGGAGAAGGTCTGGGCCTGTGAAACGCGAGGGAGGACCAGCAGGAGGAACGCACTCTCAGCTAGAACGGTTAAGATGGTCCAAGCCGCCATTACCACGCCAGCCCCGCCACCCGGCGTCGCCATGGTACCGACGCCGGTGCCCAGAGCCGTCTCCAGCGCCCCATCAGCCTCTGCGAGGACTCGGCTGAGTTGATTGGATTAGCCGGACCTGGGTTCCGGAAGTCTCCCCCGGCGGTGCTTGGTTACTAGGTTACCAAACCCTCTGGAAGCTGGCAGTCCGAAAAGGATGAGTTCCGGGCATACGAACTAGGAGTGAGGCGACTATTTAAAACTGGTGTTTTTTTGTTTGTCTTTCTTTTTCTTTTCTCTCTCTCCCTTTTTTTTTTTTCTGGACAGAGACAGACACAGAGTGAGAAATCACTCCCCTCCCCAGTGGATGGCCACGCGACCATTCTCCTTTTGGGATTTTGAGCCAGCATGCCAGTCTGCCTGATTTTCAAGCTGCCCTTTTGGAACTGGAACCAGAGTCTGCCATGTGGGAGGCCAGCGACTTAAGCAGGACACCAGCTCACCACCTGCTGCTGCTGCTGTTACAGACTCTGGGAGGCGATCCTTCAGTGGGATGTGAAATCAGTTTAGGGGGTCAAGAATACAGCAGGAAAGAAAACACTCGGTTGTATCACACAAATTAAGAGTAAATAAAGTTTCATGAAATGGTTAAATGATATTCGTAACAGAATGTATCCAGATTAGGTAACTTCCACATTAAGGGAGATACGTGTATTTTAACGGTTTAGCCAAAAAGCCAGTGATTTAGAATATGCGATGCTAGAGTATTACTACAGCTCAAGAACTTAAAAAACTTTCCTGCCAGATCTTAGTTGTTCCACTTTCTTTGTTTTGAACATAGAAAAGCATATATATAAAATGAAATAATCTTTAAACCACTTGTGAGTAAAAGAGAAACAATTTTTTAAAAATAAAATTAGTACATACACAAATGTCTTTCATAGCAAGCACTGTTGGAAAACGTTAACCCCGAAATGCTTGGGAATTATGGGTCACAAAGAGAACACTTTAGAGCCAGCAGATGGCGTAGTGGTTAAAGCGCTGGACCCCCACATACTGGCCCCGGAGGCTCAAAAATCACACCAAGTACCTGTGTACCAAACTCCCAGGAGAAGCGATTTATAAGTGGCCATCTTCCCTAGGGGATGACTTTTTACTTTCTCTCTCACTGTCTGTCTCTCTGGCGAGCACACATGACACGTGACCTATGCCCCCCCACCAAAAAAAGAAAAAGAAAAAAAGAAAAAAAAAAGAAAAACTTATTTCTTAATTTTTAATGTTTTCTTTCTTTAAAAAACAAGTTCCTAAAGGGCATGTGTGCTCTTACCAGGAAGAGACCAGAGAGTCAGAGAGAGAAAGCACTTCTCAATGGAGCATAGTCACACCCCAATCTCTTCTTTTTCTCCATCCGGTAGGAATTTTGAGCACACATGCCCACCATGTTTCAAGCCAGCAGGGCTGAGATTCAAACAGTATGGTCACCCATGTGGGATGTAGTTCCCTTACCCACTGGGTCATGGGGCTAGTCCTATGTTAGTGTTTTCTTAATATTTAAATCTTATTTCTGTTTTGTTAATTTATTTGATCATCCTGTGCTGCATCTGTCTCTTTTCTCTCCTTCATAAAAACACCTGGCATATTTTTTAACTTGAATTGAAGTAGTAACTTGAACTAATTTTTGACTTTCTCGAAAAAAATTTTTTATAATAAAAATTAATGTACTATTAAAGAACACACACATACACATAAGTGTATTACATATTCTTAATGCATGTGGAAAATATGTGTAGGAAAGTTAGTTAACAATAACTGTAAGCCACTATTAGGACTCATTTTTCCCATGTGACCTTTTCTGAAAGACCAACATTTATCCATTCACTAGTATCTATGACACAAGGGGTGTATATACAGAAGGTTGTTCCTTAAAGGGGAATTCTAAAAAGCAAAATGTTATTAATTACTCTGTTTATGGAATATCTAATCAGAAATAGAAGTCACTTATCTAAATACATTTTTCAAAAAATATGTGACCATATAAATGGTAATAGAGACTGGGAAAGGGTATAATCAGAATAATTGGGACTAATATGCAGAAGCTTCCTATGGGTGAATTTTAATTCTAGTCTTCCTTGATTAAATACACACTGTCATATGTTCTATGGACAGAATTAGGGAAATGGTATACCTACTAGTTATTTAAAGCAATAAAAGAGCCTCCACTCACGACAGTCTTCTTTGCGTCCCATACTCTGCACTGTGCTAGATACTTAACGACATTAATATTCACTCTTCCTAATAACCTTTTGAGGTACTATCCCCATTTTACAAAAATAATGAAAACTTAGGGTCAGAAAAGTTAAGTTTTCAGAAGTGATGAAACTAGAATTCTCTTTCATCTGGCCATCTCCAAAACTTGTATTTTTACTATGTTAAGTGGCTTATTGGTGAAACAAGTATAGAAAAAGTTTGACATATTCTACACATGGAACAAACCTGTTCTGTTTAGATAACACTGCCATTATAGGCCACGGGCAGTGGAATTATGATTGTTTAAGACCTTTGGCCACTGCACCTGACAAAACTGCCCCCAAGAATGAGAGAGATTATCTATAGATAATCTCTATAGAAGGGCTTGAGATAGTTCGGTTTGAGATAACTGTAGATATTTTGGGTTCATCTGTGCAAACTGCCTACAGACACTGCAGAAAAGAAATGTTAGCTACAACTGTTAAGCATAAATTGCGATGGTATCATCAGAGATCTTTTGAGGGGGTCAGCATATGGCCTGGTAATTAAGGCCCTAAACTTACACATGGCTGATCATGGTTTGAGTCCCAGATCTGGAAGCTTGAAAAACACACCTGGTGTGTGTGAATGCATGCCCAAAATCCCAGGAGGAGAATGGAGAGCAAATGGTTTCAGCATATCATCCTCCGGGGGTGGGGGGTATTTCTTACTTTCCCTCTCACTGTCTCTCTATGTCTCTTTCCTCTCACTGTCTCTTTATGTCTCTTTCCAGCAAGCACACACACTCTATGGCAAAAACTTACATAATAAAACAATTAGAGTTCTTTTGCTGCAAATAATGGCTTAAAACACACACACAAACATAAGATTGGAGGCAGGCGACTGCTGGTATTCCTTTAGTAATGTCAGATGGGCATCTCTCTTAGTTCTTTTTTGAAATACACAATATATTGTTGTTACACATAGTCACTCTACAGTGTTATTGCACCCTAGAATCTATTCCTTCTATCTAGCTGTAGTTTTGTATCTGTTAACCAAACTCTCCCAATTCCCTCCTTCTTTGTAACCTTCCCAGCTTCTAATAACCAGTCTTCTGCTCTCTGCTTCCATAGATCAACTTCTTTACCTTCCACATTTGGAAATGTATTGAAATATCCCTCCATACCCCATGAATATATCTAATTATTACATGTCAACTTAATATAATAATAATTTAAGAAGATAGTCATCTCTGCAGTTCTCTTGGCTCTTCCTTCTTTGTTGCAGTGTGATTGCCATATATCAGACATTGGTGATCAAATTTAAGATAGGAAGGAGGAAAACAGCTGAGCCAGAGATGTTTTTTCTGTCTCTTTAATCAGGAAATCAAATGCTTTCTCTGTGCTATGTATTGTTCTAAACTTCTTAAAAGCATCATTTCAATCTTTTTAACAACTCTGTGAGCATGTGGTACAATTATCCCCCTATATTTTTGTTTGTTTTGGAGAGCTTTTTGCTATAGGGCACGTGCATTTTCCAGAAAGACAAAGAGAGACAGAAAGACAGAAAGCGAGAAATCCCCCCCCCCGGGCGGGGGGAATTGCCATGCTGCAATCCCTTCTCCTCTATTCTCCTCTCAGGATCTTGGGCATGCATGCACACACACCTGGCGTGAGTTCAAGCCACCAAGTAGACTCGAACCACAGTCGACTACATGGGAGTCCAGCGACATAGCCATTAGCCAACTGCTGGTTCTTTTTATCCCCATTTATCAGGTTTAGAGATATGCCCAACATTACCTAATTAAAATGCAAAAGAGTGGGATCCACAGATGGCATAATGGGTATGTCTCTGGACTCCCACATCGTTGACCATGGTTCAAGTTCTGGACCCAGTGTGCGGGCATGCCCCAAATCCTGAGAGGTGACTGGAGGAGGAGGGATTGAAGAGTGGCCATCTTCCCTGGGGGGTGATTTCTCACTTTCTCTCTCTCTCTGTCTGTGTCTCTTGACTCTCTGGCAAGTGTATGTGCCCAGTAGCAAAAATCTCTCCAAAAAATATGAAAGAATTACACATGAAAGTCAATAAGATTAGGAGAATATGATTTAATTACAGCTTAGAAAAAAGGGTACCAAAGAAGACGAAAAAATGGACTCAAAGAGGAAACAAGTGCATATTGAACGCCTAAGATGAGATATGCATCACACTGTGCCTTACCTAGTTATTAAAATTAATTTACTAACCTTATGAAATATAGACTATTATTATTATCTCCTTTTTAGATGACTAAATGGCAACACAATTTTTTTTAATTGCCTATGTATACAGCTTGGAGTTTGTAGAAACAAACTTTGAATTCTATCAATTTAGCTCTACCAGCTACATCTCCTTCCAGTACAAATGCCCTAAGAAGGTCAAGGAGGCTGAGCATGAAGAGAAGTTCCCTAGACCTGGTGATTAGATAATCACTAGTTACCGTTGAGAGTGTAGCGTCATTATAGAGGAGGGGGTAGAAGCAAATTGTAGAGCAGTAGTAAGAAAGAGCAGAGACACCAGATATAAACTATTTTGAGAAATTTGGCATTGAGAAGAAGGCAAAAGAAAAGACTCAGTTCAAAGGGCTTAATGTTGTGTTTTTGTGGTTTTTTTGGTTTGGTTCGGTTTGGTTTGGTTTGGTTTAAAATAACAGCAGTATGTCGATACGTGGAGAGAAAAGGGCAGCAGATCAGAGATTCAAAATAAATGAATAAATGATTTTTTCCTGAGGAGAAAGAGGGCAAAGACTGGGGTGGAAGAATGGGAGGAGGACTATCCCAGGAGAAGATAAATCATTG